CTCGGGGTGATGAAATCTCCCATAATGAGAATAGTAAGCCTCAATATACAATTAAATTTCACTTAACCTTACTTCACAAAAGGTATTTTCATACAGAGTAAACAGCAATTTAGACCTCTAATGGGTATCATCAGGAAGCTTTGCGGATATTAAGAGGGGCACTGGAGCATATAATTTTGATATGCCACTGTGATGCAATATTATTAAGTGCCAACTTTTGGGAAGCAATGAGAAGTAAAATTCAATGGCATCATGAGATCTACTCAACCCAGCGTTAGGAAATTCACTATTAATTATTCTTCATCTTTAAGCGATCTAGTGTAACTTGTATAAAATGCCTGATCACCATCAGCCGATTATTTTCTCAAAGTTTTGATCATTTCCATAAAAACTATTTGACCAAAAGTTCTCCACAAAGTATACCTGAACTCAAAATCAAAGTAAAGTCTTTCCATTATCAACCCTAATGTACTTATGATTATATAAATGAATGACAGATTATTTTTGACACTCCAAAACTTTTTAGCTTCTTACATTTAAGCAGTTGATCAAGAAATAGGAAGTTAATTTAAACCTGGAAAAGAGGCGTAAATGCTTTCATAAATTCTAAGGCCATGATCTAAAATCTAGTCCCAAGATAAAGGTAAGATATTAGAGATAAATAAGTGGCAAAATTATAACATTTGGAAAGTAGTCACAAATATTCAACTTACCATCTAACTTATGCATAAAGGTCAACTAATGGTATTCATTCGCCAAAATTTCGACAATTATTTCCCCTTTATAGTATAAAACTCTCCATAGTATTCAGAATTTCATCGCCAGTGTACCTCATTCGTTAATGTGCAATCCCCTCTACTACATAATTAGGGTTTTTTATTAAATTACCTATGAACCTTTAATTAGTATTCATCAATGAATTCAATTTTACCTAGTGTTTGCAAAGATGGTTCGATAACATAATCAACTTACTTAGGCTGGAATATAATTGGCCAGTTTCATCCGAATCAGGTGGGCGTTCTTCGGGAAGTAAATATGCAGGCGGAACATAGGCAAAGTATCGAAGTTCCGCAGGCATTTCAGCCACCGCTTGTGAAGTGATGTCAGCCCGAATAGTTTTGCTACATGGATGCAGCACCCCAAAACTTCTAGCCTGGGTCATCTGGACTGAACAAGTGGCTGAAGAGGTTGCTGCTAAAACCGCTTCATCTTGTGATTCCACAACTTTTTTGTCTAAGCTGGCTTCTAAAGCAGTCGAATCAATAGACATGACCGGCTGAACACGAGCACCAGTTTCGCTGGAGCCGGAGACGCGAAGCCAATGCAACCGAGTGTGGGCTTTAACTAACAGAGAGAGCAGGCTATCGACTAACAGTCTAAAATATAAGAAATATTAGTAAAGTTGTTTAAGCAGATATCAAAGTGGCATTGGATAGGGTAGGTTTTAGAGATATAGTGAAAAGCTGCAAATAAGAAGCGAACGTAGGACGTCACAATAGTGTTGTCAAGACGATAAGCTAAACAAAATGATAATTGAAGATGGCGAAAAAAAGAAATAATAAAAATACATGTAGAGGTTTGGAATGGATGAAAACGTTACTTTCAAATCGTGCATCAAAACTATATGTGTTTAGGAAAGTTTAGGTTGAAATAAGATGAGGATTGTTTTAGTCCGTAAGTAACTCTGGTTGGGTTGATAAGATGTAAGTCTGTACGCATGAAAGCCAGATTACGAAATGACCAGTCTGAACTCGTTAGTCTGGGTTAGCAAGGTTTACTAATCCAAGGAGAAGCATGGCTGGGATCGCGTAGTCCTGCATGCACGTTTTGGTTGATGAGCTTGACATACCTATTGGAACAATATAAATTTAGTTTAGACAATCTCTCAGTTAAGTTTCCTTTTTACGGACAGCACATCAACACCCTCTTTCTTCTACTATCTTTTAATCAAGTAAAAGTTAATATTACTCAATATTTTACCAATATTCCTCACATTCAACGTATTCCAAGGCCTCTCTTACCTTGCGTTTCGTAACAGTCATATCATAATTAGCAAACCTCTGCATGATATCCTGTGCTCAGCCACTTCTTAGCTTTTGAGCCTGCCGCCATCTGCAAATTTTATTTATCTTTTCCAGTCTACCATATTGAGCAATTTAAGAAAATCTCCTTGAGAAAGCAGTGGAGAAAAAACTTGCATAATCTTGGTTTTTATTTACTCGGGTCATCTAGTCTTTATCAGTATATTCTGGTTAAGAAAATTCCCAGGCAAATCTCTAAATAATTTATATTAAGCCTATGCCTGAGCTTTCGATGGTTTTGGTTATTTTAAGTTATAAGCATACACAAGCAGGCAGATACATGTGCTTACAGCTTAAATTATAAATTATACCAAACAAACCACTTTATACCTGTAAAAAAAGCTTAGTTATATGCTATACATACAGCATTTAAGGATACGCCTAAAAGTTTTTTTAACTCGGCTCGGTTTAATAATGATAACCTAATCTGGTGATATCTGTCATATGACAAAGGAAAGCTTAACACGTTTTCATCGGAATCAAAGTAAATTGAATCGGAAACAAGGCCAACGAGAATGTTCCGGTAAAGCTAATCGAAAGCTGATCAAGAGGTATCCGCCGTCATCGTCTGGTGAGATCGACCTTCAAATCTCTTCATTAAATACTCTCTCTTGAAATGAAAATGAACTGAATAATTATAAATCTAATCGAAGGCGGCATTTTGTGTGGTCGCAGTCTCCTTTCGTTGTATAGAAGTTGTTTGACCTTGTCTTCGCAACTTGGTCATATTGGTAGGAAGACTTAGAGGAACGCACCTAGTCCGTAGTCCATTGTATGCATGATAATTTCCAGATACGGACCGTGGACGTGGTACATTCCCAGGCATTTCGCCTCGAATTAGTCACCCAGACGCAGGGGAGTGCGAATAACGCCTTGAGTAGCACAGATGGGGTGGCAGGGGTCGAATGTAATAGGTGAACCAGGAAGAGAGCAGAAGGATCTTATGGGGCAAGAAAGAGACTGTGTTAAGACCTAGGGAAAAACGACTGCATAAAAATATGGCAGACTCTGATCAATATTCCCAGCACAGAGTAAGGGAGTGAGAACGACAGTGTGGAGTGTC